TTTTTTGCGGTTTTATTTATTTATTTTTGTATCTTGAGATCCATGACGTCATCAAGAACTCGAGTTCTACTTGGGTTTTATTATGTTAATGTCGAGTTTCAAAATTATATACTCGTTCAACCCCTAGAGCAGAGCTTCTTGTTCACATAACATCCAGGAGAGTTTGAGATAGTTGGCCTATTCAAGGCTGACACAGGGGAGCCAGATTCAGATAACAACAGTTATTTTGAGTCAGGCTGACTCTGCTTGATTTCTGTCTGCCTTATAGTTCTACTGGTATGTCTCGATGGCAACTCCAAACAGCAAAATTTTTGTGATCAGCACCGCCGGGCCAAGTTTGTAGCTTCTCCAAGGTCGATTCCTTCCCATCAGCGAGTTTCAGGAGGCACAAGTGACCTGCAATTCTCGGAAATCGCGTCCAGCTTGCAGCTCAGCTCACACAGCGTCTGAGTGCTCACCGCATGGCACATTCCTTCACACAAGCTGGGCAGTCTCACAAAGACCAGAACAGTTGCCAACGTTTTCCATATTTGTCGTTATGCCAGGTAACCGCCAATGCCAAAAAGCAGAAATCCTGTTATCATAAATCCAGTTATGTACGCGTCTTTTAAATACTCAACGGACAATACAGACAGGCACATAATCTCACTCTGCCCCCAGGAATCCATTGTGTATCCAACTCAAGAGGGCTCATCTTCACCCTGTCTTCTCGTCAATAAAATTTTGTCAATTGCATTGAGAGACCAGCTGACCAGATCCATAATTTATCATTCGAAAGATATGTAAAGAGAGGCTCTGATAGGGTTCACAGGACAAAGAGCAAAGCAGGAGGGAGGTCAGAAGCTGGAGGGAAAAGCACCCGCTTTCATCGAGAGTAAGCAGGAAAGAGTAATTTATAGATTAAACTTTATAAGATTCGCTCAATTCTTACTCTCCAATAAACTGACCTGATGCCTCGTTTTAAGGAAAATGTAATAAAAATGTAACATAATAAAGTGAGGAATAAGTATCACCCTTCTATCCTCCTCAACCACATCTGTTCGGTCAGTTTGTGTACTGACACAAACAGGGCTCTAATAGTTATTGTACAATTCTTCTCTTTGACATTGAAAAGAAACTAGCAGTTCATGTCCATGAAGAAAGATTAACTTCAGTTTTCTCTTTTTGTCAGGCTGGTGTGGAGGATCTGCAGCAAAGGCAGCAGGAGGACCGGGACAGGATTCGAACTCTGGAGAAGCAGCTGAATGCCATGGATGTTCAATACAAGCAGGATCTGGACCAGCTGCGACAGGATGTGGTGCGTTCCCAAGGATGCTGCGACTCCATCACTGACCTTCAAAATCGCATCAGTGATGTTGAACGCAAGATCAGCTCAGCCTCAGAGAACTTTGACCTTCTGCTGAACCGCCTGGATGAGGATCTCAGTAAACCAGATGGTGAATCCAGAGGAGGGGGGAGACTGACTGATGGAGATGAAATCATCAGACAGGGAGGGGGTGATGTGAAGACAGACGGTACCCTGAAGGATCTGCTGAAGGACATGGAGTTTAGAATCAACAGCAGTCTGAAGCAAACTGAGCAGAGCTGCTTACACTTTGAAAATGACCTGAAGAACTACTTCCACAGAGAACTAGGCAACGTGAGAACAGTGCTGTTGGACCAGTTTGATGACCAGACATTCAGAATCTCAGACGTAGAGTTGGATGTAGAGCAAGTAAAGAGCAATCTAGGCAACCAGGACAAGAGACTTTCTGAACTGGAGAATATTACCTCCACCATGGACCAGAGGTTGGAGCAGTGTGTCTGTGCAGGGTCTAAAACAGGAGGGGGTACTGGGGGTAGAGGGGGAGAAGCAGGAGGAGGGGGTGGAGGAGTAAGTTCAGGGAAACATGTCTCTGGAATGGGCGGAGAAAGAGAAAATACGACAGAGAAATCTCTGGAATGGAGAGTAATCGCCAACGAGGATCAGATTCAGTATTTCAACACTCGACTCAAAGATCTGTCGGTGTCAGGAGACTCTCTGTACTCAAAGGTGAGATGCACATCTTTGACATTAAAAATTATGGTCTGACATTAATGGTCAATTTATTACAGTTAATTATTCAAAAACAGGACCAGCAATTGGACTCAGACTATGCGAGAAGACAGTTGGATGAATTCAGTCACAGTGTTTAAATGTTGGTCTGTTAAGTTTACTTAAAGATAAAAAAGTGATTTGCTGTTTTTTTAATGGGCTTGTAAATCTCCTGGTTCAATTCGGTTTTTCTATTCAGTTAATGTATATAGCGCCAAATCACAACAGAAGTTGTCTCAGGGCACTGTACAGAAACATTCTCATACATTATAAAATACAGTTAGTAAAAGTTTTCTATCTAAGGAAGGAAACCAACAGACTCGTTGAATCTTCACTTCGTCACAGTCTCCAATCCTGAGCAAGCACAAAGGAGACAGTGGAAAGGAAAAAATCCTTTAACAGGAAGAAACCTCCAGCAGAACCAGGCTCAGGACAAGTGGCCATCTGCTTCGACCAGCTGGGTTTGAGAGGACAGGAAGGAGAAACAAATGAACACAGAATGTCAGGTCCAGATGTTGGTGCAGGTGTACCTGAAAGACAAAAACACGTCAAGGATAGAAATAATTACAAATACAAACAGGTAGAGCAAGGAAAGACAGCAGCAGAGTGAAGAAATGTGGTCAGTTTGTCCTCCAGCAGTCTAAGCCTATAGCAGCATAACTAAGGGATAGCTCAGGAAACTCAAGCCAACCCTAACTATAGGATTTATTAAAAAGGAAAGTCTTAAGCCCAGTCTTAAAACTGGACAAAGTGTCAGCCTCACAGACAGAAACTGGAAGTTGGTTCCACAAGAGAGGAGCCTGATAACTGAAAGCTCTGCCTCCCATTCTGTTTTTGTAAATTCTAGGAACCACAAGTAAACCTGCAGTCTGAAAGCGAAGTTCTCTGTTAGGAAAATGTGGAATAATAAGATCTGTAATATAAGATGGAGCCATGTTGTTGAGAGCTTTGTAGGTTAGAAGTAAGATTTTGAATTCTATTCTGGATTTGACAGGGAGCCAATGGAGAGAAACTAAAACTGGAGAAATATGATCTCTCCTACTAACTCCAGTTCAGACTCTGGCAGCAACATTTTCGATCAACTGAAGAAGTTTTAAAGACTTTGATTCAGTGGCTTATGTTAGAAAATGTTCAAAGAACTATTTTTTAGTAAATTCACATCTGAGCAATAATCAAAAGATGAGTAAAACACATTCTTGAAATTTCAAGAATAATGAATAAAGAAAAGCAAGTGAGATGATGTAATGGACAGGTAGATGATTGCACCGGTTTAGAACCATAGCCATGATAATCATGAGGCAGATGTCTGTCCATCAGTTTTGTCTGGATTGTCACAAATATGAAACTGCTGGAATGAGGCTGAAGAATATCAAGATGCACTGAAGAAAGTGCAGAAGTAGATCTACACAATCCAGATCAGGCTAGACTCAGACTGCTGCTTTCTTCTGCAGGATGAAGTCCGTTTGCTGCTGGAAGAAGTCCGGAGCTGCACAGACCAGTGTCGAATCAGCTCAGACACGTTCACAGGTCAGTTAAAATATCCTCCGTCTGTCAATCTGTTCGTCCATGCAGGTTGTGAGCACGACAATTTGAAACACAAAGAGGTACAGACTTTCGTTTTGGTGTGTGGCTCTATGTAGGTGTAAGAAAGTGGGGAGAAAGTCATTTTCAAATATTGGGTTGTCATGTCAAAATCCAAGATGACTGCCAACATTTATTTTTTAACCTTTACTGAACCAGGCAAATCTCTGAGATCACAGATCCTTTTTGCAAGGAAGACCTGAATGCAGCCTAACATGGATATTTTGGGACTGTGGGAGAAAACCAAAGTACAGCAGTCCCTCGTTTATCACGGGGGCGTTCCGTACCCCCCCCCACCTCCCGCGCGCTCGATAAGTGAAAAACCGCAATGTAGGGATACCGTAGTCCAAGTTCAAGTTCAGGCTGTAATCACTCACTCATCACCTGTTGTTCCCAATCTCCCTCCTTAAATAAACAATTTAAATTTAAATTGTAGAGTAGTGAAGTGCAGCAGAACGTCAAAGGGTTAACCCTTCGTGCAGCTCTGCAGCACGGAGCAGAAATGTTCTTCTTGATCAATTACACTTCAACAACTGAACATAGAAGTTCTAAAATAATTAAAAATAACTTTTAACACTTTTATATTTTGTGATTATGACAATTTTACAATGTGACATACCTTAAATTTTAAGTTGGAAGACAAAAGTCAATCGGTACATCTGGACAGCAAAACTGCTGCAGCAGGAGAAATGTTTGTGTGGCAGAGAGCAGAGATCATGACAGGCTGCAGGAGGGAGCTTTCCCCTGCACTTGTGGGCTGCACACATGGTGCAAAATCATTTAAAAATAATTTATTTTAAATAAACAATCCATGGCTCATCAATCAATCAGCCAATTGTGTCATGTCCAATCTTACTTTGAAAAAACGCGATAGAGCGAATCCACGATAAAAAAAACCGCAAAGTAGCGAGGGACTACTGTGCCCAGAGAAAATCCAAGCAAACACGACAAGAACATGCAAACTTCACACAGAAAGACCCCAGGTCCATATATATATATATATATATATATATATATATATATATATATATATATAATCGGTTGGGTGCAATGTGGGATGGGTGGTGGGCAGGGACCCTGGCGGTCTGATCCTCGGCTACAGAAGCTGGCTATTGGGACGTGGAATGTCACCTCACTGGTGGGGAAGGAGCCTGAGCTGGTGTGTGAGGCTATAAGAGGTTCCGGCTAGAAATAGTCGGACTCACCTCTACGCATGGCTCGGGCTCTGAAACCAGTTTCCTTGAGAGGGGCTGGACACTCTTCCACTCTGGAGTTGCCCCTGGTGAGAGGCGCCGAGCAGGCGTGGGCGTACTTATTGCCCCCCAACTTGGTGCCTGTGTGTTGGGGTTCACCCCAGTGAATGAGAGGGTGGCCTCCCTCCGCCTACGTGTGGGGGGACGGGTTCTGACTGTCGTTTGTGCTTATGCACCAAACGGCAGTTCAGATTATCCACCCTTTCTGGAGTCCTTGGAGGGGGTACTGGAAAGTGCACCTCCTGGGGACTCCCTTGTTCTGCTGGGGGACTTCAATGCTCATGTGGGCAATGACAGTGAGACCTGGAGGGGTGTGGTTGGGAGGAATGGCCCCCCTGATCTGAACCAGAGTGGTGTTCTGTTGTTGGACTTCTGTGCTCGTCATGGATTGTCAATAACGAACACCTTGTTCAAGCATAAGGGTGTCCATATGTGCTCTTGGCACTAGGACACCCTAGGCCGCAGTTCGATGATCGACTTTGTCATCGTCTCATCCGATCTGCGGCCACATGTCTTGGACACTCGTGTGAAGAGAGGGGCGGAGCTGTCAACTGATCACTACCTGGTGGTGAGTTGGCTCCGATGGTGGGGGAGGATGCTTGTCAGACCTGGCAGACCCAAATGTATTGTGAGGGTTTGCTGGGAACGTCTGGGAGAGTCTCCTGTGAGACGGAGTTTCAACTCCCACCTCCGGGAGAACTTTGAACATGTTCCGAGGGAGGTGGGGGACATTGAGTCTGAGTGGACCATGTTTCTGCCTCTATTGTCGAGGCGGCTTACCAGAGCTGCGGCCGCAAAGTTGTCGGTGCCTGTCGCGGCGGCAACCCTCGAACCCCATGGTGGACACCATCGGTGAGGGATGCTGTCAGGCTGAAGAAGGAGTCCTATTGGGCCTTTTTGGCCTGTGGGACCCCGGAAGCAGCTGATGGGTACCGGCAGTCCAAGCAACTTGTGGCTCGGGTAGTTGCTGAGGCAAAAACTCGGGCATGGGAGGAGTTCGGAGAAGCCATGGAGAATGACTTACGCACGGCTTCAAGGCGATTCTGGTCCACCATCCGGCGTCTCAAGGGGGAAAAACGGTACACCACCAACACTGTTTATAGTGGGAGTGGTGTGCTGCTGACCTCAACTCGGAATGTTGTGGGTCGGTGGACAGAATACTTTGAAGACCTCCTCAATCCCACCGGCACGTCTTCCACTGAGGAAGCGGAGCCTGGGGACTCTGGGTCGGGCCCTCCAATCTCTGGTGCTGAGGTCACCGAGGTGGTTAAAAAGCTCCTCGGTGGCAGGGCCCCAGGGGTGGATGAGATTCGCCCAGAGTTCCTTAAGGCTCTGAATGTTGTAGGGTTGTGTTGGCTTACGCGACTCTGCAATATTGCGTGGACATCGGGGGAAGTTCCCCTGGATTGGCAGACCGGGGTGGTGGTCCCCCTATTCAAAAAGGGGGACCGTAGATTGTGTTCCAACCACAGGGGAATCACGCTCTTAAGCCTCCCTGGTAAGGTCTATTCAGGGGTTCTGGAGAGGAGGGTCTGTCCGAATGTCGAACCTCGGATTCAGGAGGAGCAGTGCGGTTTTCGTCCTGGCCGTGGAACACTGGACCAGCTCTACACTCTCAGCAGAGTTCTGGAGGGTGCGAGGGAGTTTGCCCAACCAGTCTACATGTGCTTTGTGGACTTGGAGAAGGCGTTCGATCGCGTCCCTCTGGGGACCCTGTGGGGGGTACTCTGGGAGTATGGGGTACCGGGCCCTTTGATACGGGCTGTTAGGTCCCTGTATGACCGGTGTCAGAGCCTGGTCCGCATCGCTGGCATTAAGTCGGGCTTGTTTCCAGTGAGAGTTGGACTCCGCCAAGGTTGCCCTTTGTCACCGATTCTGTTCATAACTTTTATGGACAGAATTTCTAGGCGCAGCCAAGGTGTTGAGGGGATCCGTTTTGGTGGCCTTAGGATTGTGTCTCTGCTTTTTGCAGATGATGTGGTCTTATTGGCTTCATCAGATCGTGATCTACAGCTTTCGCTGGAGCGGTTCGCAGCCGAATGCGACGCAGCCGGGATGAAGATCCATCCATCCATTATCTTTACCCGTTTATTCCATTTTGGGTCACGGGGGTCGCTGGTGCCCATGTCCAGCAATCACTGTGCGAGGGGCGGGGTACACCCTGGACGGGTCGCAAGTCCATCACAGGGCCACATAGAGACAAACGAGACAAACAACCATTCACTCTCTCACTCACACCTAGGGACAATTTAGAGTTACCAATCAGCCTAACATGCATGTTTTTGGACTGTGGGAGGAAACCGGAGTACCCGGAGAAAACCCACGCATGCACGGAGAGAACATGCAAACTCCACCCAGAAAGGCCCCTGGACCGGGGTTTGAACCAGGGACCTGCTCGCTGAGAGGCAGCAGCTCTACCAGTTGCGCCACCGTGCTGCCTTAGGCGCTATATAAATTAAGTTTATTAATTTTAGGCAAAATGGCCTTCTCTTACTCCGCTCCTGCTAAGTTCATGGCAAAAACCAGTGCAGACATGTTCCTGTTTGTA